ACCTGTAGCCCATGGAGGACCCCATGCTGGAGCAGGTGGATGCCCGAAGGGAGGAGGGAAGCCTGAGCCAGATCAGGTTCCTGGCAAGCCATTGCAGACCCGTGGCAGGAGGAGCCCATGATGAAGCAGGTTTGCCAGCAGAACTTGTGACCCCACAGGGGACCCAACGCTGGAGCAGTCTTCTCCTGAGGGATTGCACCCTGTGGAAATTATGGGCCCATGCTAGAGAAGTTCGTGGAGGACTGTCTCCCATGAGAGGGACCCCATGCGTGAGCAGGGGAGGAGTCCTCCCCTAGGATGAAGAAGTGGCAGAGACAACGTGTGATGAACTGACCCCGATCCCCATTCCCATCCCCTGCACCACTGGGGGGGAGTAGGTAGAGAAACTGGGAGTGGAGTTGAGTCCAGAGAAGAAGGGAGGGGTGGGGGGAAGGTTTTTAAGATCTAGTTTTTCTCCTCTCCTTCTCTGATTTTGATTGATAATAAATTATTTTCAAGTTGAGTCTGTTTTGCCCGTGATGGTAACTGATAAAATGGTCTCTCCCTGTCCTTATCTTGACCCACGAGCCTTTTGATTTACTTTTCTCTCCTCTGCCCAGTTAGAGGGGAGTGATAGAGCAGCTTTGGTGGGCCCCAGCATCCACCCAGGGTCAAACCACCACACATGGCTAGCAAGTGCATCCAAGGAACAGGTAAGTGGCCCCAGCCTGACACAAAACAAGCGGTTACCTGGCTGGTAACACCTGTAAGTGAAATGAGGCACCGCGCTGGAATCCAGCTACTGTCTGTCTTGGCAGGCAGAGGAAGAGCAGTGGGATGCTACAGGGAAATTTGGGTTTTGGCCCTGCTGATTCTATTTGGAGGTCAAATGACTTGTGTGAACTGTTCAGGGCTGTCAAGTTGGCCCAGTTTTCAAGAACAACATATGCTTAATACTAAATAAAATCCTAGGTGTTTAAGTTCAATTCTCTAATTCTGCTGGTATCAGAACCTGTGCATAAGTAATGGTGATTCAGCTAGGAAATCAACATTCCTCACACACACAAGATCCTATTCCCTATCCTCATGCAGATTTTAAACACCTTTCTGAAGAAGCAAAGTCATCTCAAAGGGTTACCCATCTGTTTCATTCCAGTTCACAACAAACTACTCAAGGGCACAAGTTGTGGTGGTCAGCATTACCTATTTTGCCACGTCTGAACTGGATTTAACTGGAAAATTATTGTGTAGTTTCTTCAAATTGGGAAGTTAAAAAAAAAAACATTCTGTGTGAACATACCCAAAAATCTTTAAATAATAAAAATCAGAAAAACAGAAATAAAAATTCAGAGCACAATCACAGAAGGAATCACCTGGAAGATGTAAGACTCAGATTCAAAAGCCTCTTTTGAGGGAGGGGAGTGAGCGAGTGGCTGGGTCTCAGTTGCCAGCCAGGGTTAAGCCACAGCAGAGACAACGGCAGAAGTCAAATGCTTTGTCATTTCCAACTGTTCCAGCACTGACTGTGCAACAGTTTCTGGGCAATGCAACACTGATGACCAACTTGATTGCTTTTGTAAACTGCCAGATCCAGTTCATGCTGCTATCAATGTAAAAAACCCAAGATGTTATTTAATTTGTAAGTGAAGTTTGACGTCTACATACACTGAAAATAAAGATAATTGTTAATGACTAAGGACAGCATACAAGGCAAAAATCACATTTTGTTAGATGTACACGCGTAACCTATACCACCCAATGCACACCACTACACAGAACAGCTTATTCAAGCGTATTTCAAAGCCTGTTACTGATAATCCAGGAATATAAATACTAGAGCACTCCATATTCAGCAAAAAGGTACAAAAAAAGAAAAAAAAAGGGTGTTTCGGTTTCTGCTTGGTACCATAGGATAGGTGCTTTGGCATTTGGCAAAAATTTCAACTTGTGTTTTTCACTAAACAAATTATCATAGATAGATTTCATTTGTGTTACTAATGCTCAAGTTTATGTCACTTACACTAACGTGATAGCAGTCACTCATTCGATTTTGTAATACACTGAACACACCAGTGAACCTGAGGAGGCACAAAACCCAAAGGAATCCAGGACCATTTGTGGCTTTTCTTCTTAAGTATGGATTGAGCTTTATGTATTTTAACTGAAAAATCCTCCACATGATTTCCAAACTTGTGGCATTCGTTAGAAAATAGATGTTGACACCAAGAAATGCTATGGAAGCTCTTCTACCCATGAGTCACCAATATGCGTGCTGTACTTTGTACAGCAGGCAATGCACTTGAAGGCAGCATGTTAGAAACTATTAAATATAGATGGTAATTACGTGAAAATCATGTGGTCATATGTGACTTCAACAAGGAGCAGTTAAAATTTTCTAGAGAAAAAGGAATGGGTGTTGCTTCATCAGATAAATTTGGTAGAGCAATGTTTTTTCTGAACACTCCTGTTTGGCACAGAGTATGAGAAATAGCAAGGACTGACTTTCAGTCTGTAAAATCGGAAAAAAGCAGTGGATTTTTAGGAGCATTTTTACTGTGTTGGACCGAAACACTTAAATTACGTTTAATAATTACTTCACGTGCCTTTCCATAAAATAAGGGAGACAGAAGTGGCAGCAGCAGATATTAAATGCTGTTTCTAAACATGTGAACTAGAGCAGAACAGTTTGTGTACGCTAGATCTGCCAGTGTACCTTTGAAACATGCAAGTTTCCTGACTCCGTGATGATCATTCCCCTCTAAAGGCAAACTGGCCTCAAGAATGCAGTTATTGGGGAGTTGCATAGGTTTCTGGCCTTTTAACAACGTCCAAAGGAAGGAATACTTTAGACAAGATGCTAAACCACAACTTATTTCAGCTAAGATCCTAAGCCATCTTACCTCCACAGCCAGGTTTGCGGCACTCATGCACTCATGGCAGCACTTCAGCTAAGGTTGAGTTTATGCCCTTTACAAGCATTTTTTTTTCCCAGAGTGGAGGTTGTTGCTCAATTTTGTGTATTTGACTTTATCAACAGGGCTATAAGGATGTTTTTTTGCAGTATAGAGCTAAAGAAGTTATAGGAGGTTAGGGAAAGGATTCATCAGTAGGTAGGTTCATGCAGAATTCAAGAGGGCTTTTTTCCCCCTCTTTTGTTTTGGGAGAGGAGTCCGAGAAATCCAAGTGATGTCTTTCTTGCAGGAATACTTCAGATAGCTAAACAGAAGCAAAATTTGGCATTTAGCCTGGGATTAGTGTGAACAGCCTCTTAACCAAACATTATGAAGAAAGTTAACTTTAAAATGCTTTGAAAGGTCTGTTTTCATGACAGATGGTAATAAGGGCTCATCAGTGCCAATTTTTTTTTTGTTTCCACCTCAGTTTTCAAAAGCTGAAGTTTTAGGTTAGTGCTTCTGAGAAACCATTACATGCATAGAGGAAAAATGCAAGTTATAAAATTAGATTACTCACTGTTTTTATTGTATGCAACATATTTTTCTAAATAGCACTAACATATGAAAAGTAAGAATTTGACCATGTGCTTAATAGACCACTTTTCCTTTCTGTTTACTAGAATCCCTCTTCTTTTTTTTTTTTTTCTGCCAGCTATTTCTCCTTTAATCTTTATCTGTACACCTGGACAGTTATTCTTCTCCCCACAGACCCCAAAAGATACAGCAGCCAGCAGCAGCTAGAGGTTGTGTTTGTATGACACACTCACTAGGGAAGACATGGTAGAACCGTATTTTATTCAGGAAAACCCACACATTCTGTCCCGTGGTGACCACAGGCTTTGCTAAGCCATAGATATCAGCAAACACTGGAACAAAATACAGTGTATCAGACTGAATCAAAGCATTTAAATTATGAGTTACAGTTATAATTTTCAGGGAAGGCTAGTTTCAGAATTGCATCATAGTATCTAGTACAATGTTGTGCAATGTAAGTGGCAGAAACAGAAATGGAATATTGGTCCTAATAAAAACCGAAATGTAATGACTCTTGCATGACATTTAAACTGTCAAGACAACAATTCATAACATTCTACCAAAGGCAGCATATAGTTACAAAAATACTGGTCCAGCATCTTGTTAGTGGTGAAGCAATATCCAAGGTGCAATGGCAACGTGCCATTCTTAGTGAAATACTTCTTTAAAAAACTATGTTTCCTATTTTCCCCGCACTGATACTAGCTGAACACCAAAACTGCTATGACAACCTGAAAGAAAGTCACTACTTATCATGTGTATTGCACCAAAGATTTATGCAAAAACACATTTTCCAAGCTGCAGTATAAAAGAAGCAAAGTCTAATAAAACTATGAATATGCCAGAAGACATTTTACTGCAACTGATCTTGGATTGAGCTTTAAACTACTGTCCAAGCTTCTGCATTCTAGCCATTATCTTGAACTTAACTTTACAAAGGTAAAAGACAGAGTCCTTGAGAACAGAATTAAATCACTTTATGCCCCTCTCCATTCACCTACAAAATAAAAATATTCCACCCTCCTTTCCTCCCAATACCCAGGTAATTTCAAAGTCAAGCCTTGGAATTACCCTTGTTCTGATATTGCACTATGCTATGATTGTATTGTTTCCACCTAGAAGTTAAAACATACAGTATGAGGGTGACCGTAACTGCTGGAGACAGTAGACCTGCTTAACTTGCAGAGGTATCCCAAGAAACGTGCACCAGACGGAGACATGATCTAAATGGCAAAGCGTATTTCAGACTTGGCTGTGGTCTGGACTTGGGCCAAAAATACATTAGCCTGCCTGCCATTTCCTTCAAGAAAACAGCATCGATTAGTATCTTAACCAAAAGACAAAGTCGAGTAAGATCAGGTAACCATGTCACATCCAATGTTACATCCGACCACACAGAAATGAAGGAGTAGCAGACAGGAATATTAATCATATTTTCCTTTAATAATGGTTTAGTCAAAAGTGTAGCTTTCAGCTAGTTGTGAAAACCTGAAGAAGCTGGGAAGCAACCTCACTCTGAACAGTACAGTTTAAAGCTGTAGCTTGGCCTATCTGCTTTCAAACTCTCCAGTAGCACTGCCAACCTTGTAAATAAAAGGTACCGCCTGGAAATAAAAAGAAGTCAGCCTTTAAAAGTTGGTGAATGTTGTATTGTAGCAGCCTAACTCTGACTGAAGAAGAAAGATGAGATATTTTTATACAGTAAACAAAAGACAAAGTAAACTGAAATCTTCAGAGATCACTTTAAGTGTATACAATTTGGATTCTCATCAACATTTAAAACTACCAATCATAAGGTTGCCACCTTACCTTTTTCTGGACTGGCATACCTGATTTTAAACAGGTTTTCCTCCAGTCTCCCAAGTTTCTGATCCTCTTATCCAGTTTTCTGCTGTACTGCTCTCCCACCTTCATGCTGAATACCGAGTCAGTCCTGCCTTCTGCTTTTCTTGGCAGGAGGCAGAGCAAGCTTTTAATTTCGGTAGTCAGAGTGACAGAACAACAAAAGCACAGCAGATAGAAGAGCTTAATTCTTCCCCAGGAAGAAAATACATTTGGTTCAACAAAGGGCTGCAAAATCTTCCAAAGGCACCTCTTTCACCAGTTTTTGCCTGAAAGCAAGATGGCAATCTTAATTGAAAAGGGATGCTAAATCTTTTAAATAACTTAAAAATTCATTTTTATATAAAGCAGCAAAAACATTTTTCTCTGCAGAAAGAGAAGTGTTAACAAAGAAACACACCAACATAAATGCACTGTTCATAAACTTCAGCTAATTTAATTTCACAAGAAAGTAAAATTTTAGGACTATTCTTTAACCTCATCAGTACTTTCTGAAGAAGATTCTTTGGCATCTTCAGTCTCTCTGTTGCTTTTCTCTTTATTTAGATTTTCACTTTCTGATTTGGTCCCATTAAATAGAGAGTTTTCACCATTTACAAACCCATTCTCTGTGACTTCAGCATCAATAGCTTCATCGATCTTTAAGTCCCCTTGCTCTTCCACATCTTCTAGGTTTCTCAAGACAATAGGGAGTCTAGAGTCTGCCACAGTGTTCTCCAACAAGGCAATATTGCTCTCTTCATATTTAGGAAGCGGAGCTCCATCTGCCATTTGTTTGGTATAATACTCTCGGCTAGCAGCTGCACTCTTCACTGCTTTCTCCAAGATCTCTTTTTCACCTAAACGCAATTTGATAGCCATTATCGCATGTGAAGTAAGATCATGGGTCTCCAAGAAGGACTTATCATCCTGTTAGAAAAGACAAAGCAAGTTTGTTAGTAAAAAATAACACAGTAAAAAAAAAAAAATCCTTCAGCTTTTCTCTTTACGTGTTAACAATAAGCAACACTAGGTTCTTCGGGCCGAGCCAAATGGACATACACGAATGAGGGGGTCTGCAGGGAGTCCCGGTGAAATTTCTCAAGAATTCATAAAGAAGCCAAAAATTTCTCCACATAGATCAGCCTGCATAGCAAGTGCAGTCAGGAGACTTCACAAATATATGAAACATGTAGGTTCACTTATACACTCGCAATAATAGCACACTTCCTTACAGTCTGGAGAATGCAACTAATAGACAACAAGTTCAAACTGATTCCCCATTTTACTTGCAGAGAAAAAGCAGGTAGCCTCTATTTGGAGAATCAAAGAAAAAATACATTAACAAAATTACATTAACAAAATTTTCCTTAGATAATGCAAATCTGTTTCTACACTTTAAAAAGTAGAGAATGAATTATGTACTAACGTTCAGATTAAAGTTTGTAAAGACAAGATGGGGGACAAAATATCTTTTCCTACAATCATAAGACAAAACATTTCAGACACTTAAATTACATGATAATGATAATTTTACCTCCACAGTTGTTTTATAGGTTTTCAACAGAAGGGATGCTCTGGCTTCTAGGAATGTCCAAAGTTTAACTTCATTGTCCCAACTAACAGGAAACTCAGAGTTCCCCAGAGTGAAGATTTTATCAATAGCATGCTCGCCTATCAAGTGTTCCTTCAGCTCTTCTGCAATAAGTATAAAACAAATCTGTTAAAAACAATCTCATCATTCACTTTGCCAGTTGACAAACTGCAGAAAGATTTATTTTCAATAGAAGAGCTTTGAGCAGCTAACAGAAAAACGTCTCCTCAAATAAGACTTATCAGATATGCTGGTTATTTTTAGGATTCTTCTCAGAGAGGCAACTGGAAGTCTTGAGGTTAGCAGAAAATGGACCTTCTGCTCCACTCTGAAATAAGGATACTTTACATATCATAGCCTCTCATACATGGCATAACTCTGTGACAGTGAGATGGAATGTTTTGTATAATACTTGATAAACAAAAGGGAGTAATTCTTTAAAGGGTTCAGTGAACTTTTTGATAATAAAAGGAACAGGCCAGAGTGTGCAAATAGCAATGGAATTATTTTACCTACTGTTTTGGTAAACTTTTTCAGTAGCAGAAACTCCCTACAGTTGGTCAGAAAAGACATCCATCAAACAAACCTCACACAGAGTAGAAAATGTTTAATCAGCTCCTTAACATTATACAAATTCCATTAATCTTTTAATTACCAAATATCACTCTTGCAAAGCAGCTATCACAAACTTAATAAACTGTCTGCATACAGTTTCTCAATAAAGTTTTCTTGTACAGTATTTAAGACATATGAATAATCTGAGCACAATCATGTATCAGAGTAATGCAATTAAAATGTTTACTAGCTATATTTTCTTCTCTGAGGCAAAAATCCACCCCCTTATCGGCATCCTAAAATTTTCTTTACTTGAATTTACTTCCCTGGTGGTCAGGCTTTTGGACTAGATGATCGTTGTAGGTCCCCTCCAACTGAACTAGTCCATTCTATTCTAATTTCTTAATAAGTTCTAGAAGATGGATGACAGAATGCAGTGTGAAGGCATGAAACCATATAAGGTAGGTTGTTTTTATTAAAAAAAGCAAATAGAGCACATGCAAAAACTTAACAACTTCAGTATTCCTACTGGTATTAAAATCCACATGACCCGCACAGCATCCCTAACTGCAAGGAGATTCTCTCACTGTCCTGAAGAACTCACATCTATAACCTCCCAAACTGCATCTAACCAGCAAGCAGCTATTAGAAACATTTAATCAGAAGTTTCACCTGCACAAATTAGGTGAATATTTATTAATTGTATATATATTTTCCCCATAAAACCCCCTAACATAAGAGAAACACTACAGTTTGCAAATACCTAAGTTGGTTTTAGATTATGAATTACCAAAATATTGAAAATACTCAACTTTGCAATGTCTCTTCCATATTTCTCCTGCAGTACAGAATATTCCAATTCCATACCTAAATGATTCTAGCAGCGATCACAGAATCACACAGAATCACAGAATCGTAAGGGTTGGAAGGGACCTCAGGAGATCATCTAGTCCAACCCCCCTGCTAAAGCAGGCTCACCTAGAGCATGCTACACAGGACTTCATCCAGGCGGGCTTTGAATATCTCCAGAGAAGGAGACTCCACAACCTCCCTGGGCAGCCTGTTCCAGTGCTCTGCCACCCTCAGAGTGAAGAAGTTCTTCCTCATATTCAACTGAAACCTCTCGTGTTTCAGTTTGCATCCATTGCCCCTAGTCCTGTCGCTGGACACCACTGCAAACAGACTGCTTCCGTCCTCTTGACTTCCGCCCTTAAGATATTTGTATGCGTTGATGAGATCCCCTCTCAGTCTTCTCTTCTTCAGGCTGAACAAGCCCAACTCTCTCAGCCTTTCCTCGTAGGGGAGATGCTCCAGTCCCTTTATCATCCTAGTAGCTCTCCTCTGGACTCTTTCTAGGAGTTCCTCGTCTTTCTTGAACTGGGGAGCCCAGAACTGGACACAGTACTCCAGGTGGGGTCTCACCAGGGCAGAGTAGAGGGGGAGGAGAACCTCCCTCGACCTGCTGGCCACACTCCTCTTAATACACCCCAGGATACCATTGGCCTTCTTGGCAACAAGGGCACATTGCTGGCTCATGGTCAGCTTATTGTCCACCAGGACTCCCAGGTCCCTCTCAGCAGAGGTGGCATTGCTCAAGGAACAACGTCAGGGCCGATCCTGTTCAGCATCAGCATCATCAGTTACCAGCACAAGGGGCGGAAGGCACGTCAGCAAGTCGGCGGGTAATGGTAACCCAGAGGGGGGGGAAGCAGTTCACGGCCTTGATGGCAGGATTAGTCTTCAGAGGTACCCTGGATGAGACAGAGGAACGGGCCAAGAGGAACCTCCTGAAGTTCAGCAAACACAAAGACACTGTCCTGTCCCTGAGCTGGAATAGCCCCCAAGCATCAAGATGGGGTTGTGGACCCACTGGTTGGAGCAGCTCAGCCAAAAAGCATTGGGGTGCTGGCAGGCAAGACGAGGTGGCTTCCCCCAGAGCCCTCCCAATCCAAGGGGTTCTATGATTCCTAATAACTGTATCTCCCAAAGACCAACTTGACTTGGCCACTTGCTTGGAGAGGACACCCAGAATGAGTTGTTCCATCCCCTTTCCAGGGACAGAGGTGAGACTAACCGGCCTGTAGTTCCCTGGGTCCTCCTTCTTGCCCTTTTTGAAGACTGGAGTGACATTGGCTATCTTCCAGTCATCAGGCACCTCTCCTGTTCTCCACGACCTTTCATAGATGATGGAGAGTGGCTCCGCAATGACATCTGACAGTTCCTTCAGCACTCGCGGGTGCATTCCATCGGGGCCCATGGACTTGTGGGTGTCCAGCTTCCTTAAAAGATCCCTAACCTGATCCACATCAACAGAAGGAAGGTCTTCCTTTCTCCAAGCTAGCTCGCTTACCAGCCAGGACTGGGGAGCCTGAGGGCCAGCCTCGACAGTGAAGACTGAAGCAAAGAAGGCATTCAGTAGCTCTGGCCAGCTCAGCGATGGCCAATATGCTACGATTTTAAGCATGTAAACCCCTAGGTCTCACGTGATCTTGTTCTGTGAATGATTTTTAAACCTAAGAACTAAAGATCAAGCTCCAAACCTCACTCGTTCACAACAGCCTGGGAGATTATAAACCCCCATCACCTCACATTTTAGGAGTTCCAGAAAGGCCTATGTTACTGAAATAGTCCCTTGGACAACATGGCCAAAGACTGGGTTTCTCACTAGCTTATAGATCCCCTTTTAATCTCAACTCCTCAAATTTTCTGATCTTCTGGCTTAATTTTCTATATGTCTATCACATTCCTGCATTAAAAAACACCCTCCCCCCAATGTAAATTAGGCTATATTCATAAACATCTTACCTTCACTCATACAAAACACTCGAAGGAAAGCCAAAAGCTGGGCAGAGATTGGAGGCTCAGTAGAGTGCAAAGCAAAAACACTAGAACTAATAAAAGACACAATCAAACAGCATCAGTAAATGCAAGTTATAGTCATACCTTTGAACTTATTTCAACATAAAAGATGTTAAAGTATACATCAAATGCACTGTTGCAAAAGTAACTTTTAAAAAAACTTAGGTAATACTAGTTCAAACGGAAGAAAAGCTTCCCTAACCTGTATCTGAAAAGAACAATTATGTCTACAATTTTACACTTAAAATTATTTTTATACTGCTTTCATAATAAATTCATGAAAATGCAATGTTTCACATCTGCTGCTCCTAACAGTACCCTCTGGACTGAAAAGACTAAAGGAAAATGCTGTGGTTCACACACTGAGCATTGTAGTATGTCTGCAAGGGGTAGGAAAGAAAGAAAAACCACAGATTGCTTCAAATTAATCCTTGCTCTGTTTTTGTTCAAATGGTTATTAAAGCCAAGGCTTTTTTCCTTATATATGGTCCAAATTAGATAATAGTATTGCTCAGAGAACTTCTGTAAATATTACTACAATAACTTTAACTTGCAATACAAACAGGACAAATATCACACCTAAGAAAACTATCATAGAACAGCTTTTATATATGCTCTACTGGACACTATATATACTTTGGAAATGTTTTAAAAAACCCATGGCATTGCGTTTTACTTACGTTGGGATACCAGCACGAGCTAAGACCTCTGCCTTCATAGCATACAGCCTGTCACTTTTACTCACGCCAAGCTTTATTTTCACTCTGTCATGTGAATTATTATCAAAGAAAAAACCACTGTGGATCACAAATTCAGCGTTTGACCGAGTGCCATAAAAAATGTAAATCTAGAAGGATGAAAAGAGAAGTGAAGGGACAGGAAAAAAGCTTAAGATCAGCTCACAAAACTGACATAATTTGAAAGTTATTTCCTGACAGAGTTACTATTCTGAGTACACGGTATATTTGGTTATATAAAGAAACAGTCTTTGTTTTCCGGTATCGATTCAAATGCTGTATATAGTGTGGCAATATACTTTAGAGGTAGGTGTAAACATATCCAATGTAACAGAGACTTTGAAAGGAGAGAAGAGGTTCATTCTATGCTTTAAAATAAAAACGCTTTGTTTTCTCACACTGTCATAAAATATCAGTATATGGAAATAAGCTTTCAAAGATCCTATGCCTTTTAAAGGCTAAAAGATCTGAGACAAGGAGGGCCCATCAAAAGAAACTGTCTGTCTGGAGTAATTTCCCCCCCCCCCCGGATTTGTCCACCCAAAAGAGTAACCTACACTGCTGATGGATCAACTTTGCTTTTGTTTTTATGTTACCTTAAGGCATGCATATACCGAAGTATATCATACAGAGACATCTGATCTGTGTTCAGCCAGTATTTATTTTTGTGCTGTAATCTGAACTCTTTACCTAAAGCAAATATGTTACTTTAATTCACATTAAAAAAGAAGTTCCTTTATATACATATATACATAACCTGCAGAAAGTGTTTAATTCAAGGCTAGGCTGTATGAAGTACATGGGACAGAGTAGCAATTGTCTTCTCCTGCATCAAGGGGACATTTCCCCCTTTTGTTTGATAATGGAATTGTCAATCAGAAAAAAGTTTCAACAGCTACAGAACTCCCTTCTTAACCTTAGGGTACAGCAATGCTCTGGATACCTGTAGGCTTCCGCTCCTCTCTAGCTGACAGAGAAAGGCACAGCGTTCTCTTAAGGGCTCAACACTAATGGTGCCATTTACTTTCTTTGTTTTCAATTTTAGATTAGAACTATTTATCCTAAGCACTAAATGCTTAAGTGTTATATTAAATTACAGTAAACATTATACTGTAACACACTCATATAATGAACAAGTGACCTGCCTAGGTATGTTAAGGCAGTGGTTAATGACAGAGTTGCTAACCCTGAAGTTTTAAAACTACTGTGATACATCTCATATTAAACTAAGTCACATATCATGTGTAGATTATACAGTATGCTCTTACACTCTACAACTGCTTTACAAAAGAGCTAATTAACAGAACGAGAAAGTTGCTTTATTCAAGGCCAGTGTTTGATACACTCTGTGGACTTCTGCTGCCTCACATTTTTAGTAGTAAAAGCAAGGATCATACAGTCTTCGTGCTGAAACTAAGAAATAACATCTGCACAGTATATTAAAAGACTGAAGCATTACATAATTAAAGTGCTTTAATGATGTTGAAAACAGTTAAAGTTTGCACAGAGATGTAAAAAAAAATATGATAAATAGCAGACAAAGTGAAACTACTAAAATAAAATTAAAATAGAGGAAGCCTCTATAATTGAAATGGAGAGAGCAGCCAGAACAGCTATATGACACATCCATTGCCAGCTGTGGAAAATCATAAATTGGATCACTTCTGGAAAAACTGTGGACCCCTTTTAACTCATCGTACCGGTATGGGGAAAAAATAGCAAATATTTGACTACCATAACAAATTCTAAGAGCAACACAAAAAAAATATACAATCACTGTATAGCATAGCAATGAGGATAAATATACCTCTGGAAAGACATACTTAAAAAATTTTTTCAGACACATCTTTGTCAAAAAAGAAGGTAACAATACATAAATAAAACGAAGATCAAAACATTAAGTGTAAGACGGGCAAAATAATACACTAAAGGTAATAACTCAAGAGTGTGAGTTACAAAACATTTCATGGTGTTTCATAGATGAAGTCTTTTTCTGGCCACGCTAACTACAATTGCGCAAGCAGTAGGAAAAGCGAAGTGCTACTACACTGGAGGGCTTAGGCTGGCTGCTGACACAGCACAGGAACCCTCCTGCCAGAGATTTCCTACACTCCTGGAACCACTGTCCTCAATGCATCACTAGTTTTAATGCTCATTTTTGTTTCTTAGCAGTTCTGAACAAAATACTGGATTCTGAACTATTCCACACATCTTCGCAAGACTCATGCTTTGGTAATTTGGGTTTCAGGATGAAGGGGTGTGTACACGTGTGCGTGTCTGTGCGAAAGGGAAGGAGTATATTTTTAGGTCCTTTCTTATTTTCACTAAGCATAGGAATGGCAACATGGGTAAAATGACTGGCAACTATACTGCATTTAACCCCTTGTTAAATGAAGACTAACACGAAAACATAAACCCAACATTTTTAAGAAAGACTACAATCTGCTACTGCAGACAAACCAACAGGCCAAGTCTAAAATATATTTATTTATCTTTGGTCCTTTGGATCTGGCCTTTTATTAATCTCATCCAGCATACCAAACTCAGTGTCTGTGTATGTGCATTTACCAGTGATTAAATATTTTAGCTATTTCTCTAAAATATGAGGAATCAAAACTCTCCTGAAGTTGGGGTCTAACAAGTAATACAAAATATTTTACTTTGAAAAATGTGCACTTACTTAGTTTGGTAGTATTTTCACACAAAATTAGCTCAGCATAATAAAATCCAAAGGTAGCCGGGCTTAATCCATACTACTCCGCTATTTAAATTTGTAGGGAGTTATCAAGTGTCCACAAAACTTTAATTAAAGAACAATTATGTAGACAATAGTTCACATTACCTGTTCTCCAGCCTTGAAATCCTGAAGTGCTACGCATTCACACCGGTCATCTTCTAAATTGTAGCCTGTAGTGATCTATCCAAGGGAAGAGTAACAAAAGCACCTTTAACTTTTCATATTTATCTCCCCCACCACTGACAAAATGTTGTCCTATTGGAAACATATTAACAATAGCAATTGCATATATTTCTTTCTCTGCACAATACAGTATTACTGGTAGAAATCATTTTATGATTCCTGAGCAATCTTTTTTTTAAAAAAATCTCTGCATTAAAGAAGTCTAAGGGAAGAAATGACTTACGTGAAGTGAACGGAAGGCTCTAAGGAAAGTACTCTCCATAGACTGCAGACAGTCCCGTGCTAAAGCTGGCAGCTTGTTATAAAGTTTTGGAGTTTTTAGTCACTCCCATGAGGCCCAAGGGAGCAAGGCACTGACAGCTTTATATGCTGTGCTTTATCCCTCAACTGCTAGCACATTTTTGATCTCTCAATGAAAAAGGATTAGATAACTGTGGATCTTTAGGGGATACAATCTTCAGAGAATTATAATTTACTTGCAAATAATCCCTTTATCTAAAGTTAAGTCATACTCTTAAAATGCTAAAAGGATTTTTTGATGGTAGCAGGCAATGGAAGAGGATAAATTCTCTTAACAAGCCTGTACTTCTGCGAAAAAAATTACAAAACCGTAAAGTTGTCACACTAACAAGTAAAGCTATCCCAAAAATGTACTACTATTTTAAAGTGACAAACCATGTTCTTGAACAGTATTACCAAAGAGGCAGGCATAGATGCAGCCACGTGATGGACTGTAAGCTGCTGAACAGTCAGGAAGCAACTTTTACGGCAAGTATCCTGAATTCACTACTGACAGACAGAACTAACTTATGGAAAAATATGCTCTGGGCCTGGGGGAAAACCTAGGAGAAGCTCAAGATTCTCTCTCAGCCTTTGCAAATGAAAACATACTTGTCTGTAAGCTGTCTGACACGTAAGTTGCGGTATAACCCGATTCCCATCTTGGATGCAGTTTGGTCAGAACTCCATGGATTATTTTGAAAGCTTGGTTGATGGTTTACACGTTAATAATTTTATGGTGCCTACACCATCAAGCGTGCATTTGTCAGCCAAAACAGTGCTTTCAAAGTGAGCAAAGGGAACTTGTCTACGATGCAGCAAATCCATAACGGCAGCCACAAGCTGAGGCAGCCTGGCTGCCATCACTTCATGTCTATTAATGGATTTGAGGTATGTTGAGATCAGAAGAAAAAGCAAGAGCCATGCAGTATGGCCTACTGCAAAACACAGGCTGTAATACTTGAAGACAGAAATTCCTGTACATTCACTATGCTGGACTGAACAATTTTTAATTAAGATCTCTCATTTAGAGGGCTATCTAACACTGAATTGCAGGTTGCAAATGCTAGAGGATTGATCTTCACTATGACAAATGTACCTTCCAAGTTCAAATACAGTCATCTTGGGAAAAACCGCAACTTCCATTCAAAAAAGGAACTCTTGACAGCATTTGACCCGTCCTGAAATTTTCTTAGTGGGTAAGCTCAATGAAATACTTCTGAATGTGAAAACTCCATTCCAGTTTCTTGAACTGCCTGTGGAACAGGAGGCTTTCAAGGACTGGGGAACTTCCAGTATGTTAAGAGAAGGATTCTGTCAGTTCAAGCATGCTTCACTAGAGTACTGCTCATTTTGGGGATTGTTTTTTACTTTAAAAAAAAAAAAAACAAAACAAACCACAAGCCAACCAGCAGCGCTTCTGAAAGGCTTTTCTATAAAGCATAATGGAGTGCTAGACTCTTATTTCCTCTTTCTTTTAATAGCAGTCATGTAAGAGAATTAACAGCGTGTTTACTTTTCTTCCCACATGATAGCTGACAAATTGCATCCCTTCAGTTTTATTTCTGAAGCAGACTGATACATGAATTTCAAGTTGTATATAAAACATGCAATAGTCTGCTTGGTCAGTGATTAAGGATGGACCCAGCCCAACAGGCAAAATGTAGCTTATTTAAAGCTCTGGCAGAACTGGTAATCAACCTCTGACTGTCAGAATACAATCCCACTAAAGAATAACAATGAGAAATGCATGAAGACAACCATTTTGATATAGTTCTTAGAGGCAGGTTGATCTAACTAATAGTGGCAGAAGCAAGCAAAAGCTGGATGGACCTAGCTCCAGTTAAAAACCAAGGAGCATTTTATTATCTAGCTCATGGAAAGGGCCCCTGTGGAATAAAGCAAGAACAGGGACCTATAGTAGCCAATTGACTCAAGAAGTGCTTCAGCACTGTGTTTGGAATAGACTAGACAGGGGCGTATACAATGCCATCTTTTGTTTCTACTTTCCTACAACAAAGAACAATTCCCTTCATGTATTTTAAAGGGATGTGCTATGATTAGAGCAGAACGCACCCTCATCTCACTCTAATATAAACTACAGCTTACAGTTATCTTAGCAGGTTTTTTTTCCTTTATTTCTAATAGTACAAGGAAACTAACACAACAGAAATAGCTTTAGTAGCTTTTCTTAGCCCATTGTCAACATTACAGTTGTCTATCCTTCCTAAATCTATAACCATCTACACTAGTTTCTGTAGAAATACAAAACAAATTAGTAAAGTCTGTATACACACACAAAATATTTTAGTTCAGCACACACATACACACACCTCCCCCCTGCCTTTTAGGATACACTTCAGCTTAAAAAAATGCTTCCAACCCTGATATACTACTGCACTAGCAGGTTTGGCTCCAGAGGCTGGCTCCATATCAAACCCATTGTTAAAGAGCATAATAAAAATAAAAGTTACTTTATCAATTTAAATAGAAGTTTGAATGATTAAAACAACATAACTAGCTGCTCTTTTAATATAGTCTACTTAATTTTTTCCCCTCCCAGAACCTTAATTCTCTTCCTCTTTCGCCTAATCCCAACTTTGAAGGCATTCATTAAGAGTTGTCTAATGAATACAGACAAGTCTCTGCAAAAGCATCTGAAAGAGATGCCCAGCAGGAAAAGGGTACAGGAAGTACTGATACTTGCAACTAAGACTTATATTACAAAAATATATATTCCTGAATTTTAAACAATTTTCTTTACATTGGAGACTCTCATACAAGCTTTATTGCTAAATCAAAGTTATAAGATTGCAAAACAAATAGTAAAAGGCAAGAATCACTGTTAAAGAACAACATGTAATCACCTTTTAGTAGGGGAAAAAAAAATAAATAAAAACCCCCACCAAACACTTGCAGCTTTGTAGCCTAGCCTACCGCGCTGTATTTGGTACAGTCATAGTAACAATAAATTAGCTAAATGTCAAGTGAAAAACAACTTGCTTTACAATTTGTTCATTTAAACCAGGCTTTTCTTATACCAACAATACTAACACATGCTGCTGTCCTAACACTCAAGTCAACTCTCCCACAAAAGAACCAGATTTCTTTAATATGGTATAGTATGGTCATATTCACTGCTTACAATAAATAATATCATCTACTGGAAACACAATTAAAGAGCATGAACTTTGAAGCATACATGAGACTGGCTAAATAACATTGATAAACCATCCTCTTCTGTGTTTCCTCACTTCAACATTAACTAGCCTGTTAATGAAATCAAGACCTCATCTTCTGAACTAGCTCACATAAGCCAAAATGTCAGCAGGTCTGACTTTCTATATACATATGTCACCTTTTAAATGTTTAATATGCCCTAAAGTAGTTTTTTTGCATTTTGTTTCTTTGATGTAGTAACAGATGTACTGTTTTTGTTGAACTAGGCTTTGTTCTTGTTGTTGCTGTCTTCATAACAAGGCTCTTTGGGCATGGTTAGAAGAGCAGGCAGTATTTCTTAGTTGCAAATTTCTAACCACTTTCCCTTGCGGTAGCTACAAGAGGCAGCCTCCATCACTGTCTGCCTTCCTATTCTCAGAACAAATCTGTCCAGTATTGTGAATCTCTTTCACCCCATCAGAAAAAAAACTCCATGTCAGAAGAATATTCAGACTTGGCTGTAAAAAAGGTATCATGTAACTGAAAACTTTTAAAGGCACATTCTATGCATATGAGACATAACTGTAAGCAAGTATGCAATCACTTTTAAGTCTTCTTGAGATAAGGAAGTTCTCCCTGAAAAGCTATCGTAAGACATTTAAGAAACTGACAAATCTTTCTTTCAGATATTAGTTTTTTAGGGTCACTTGGGAAGATAAAATACCTGTGTTAAGAAGCATAATGAAAAGTGTTATTAAACTGTTCAACAGCAGTTGAAAGGCTTAATACTTAAGCCCTAAAGCCTTTCAGCAACACCAAAGAAATCCTTACCAGTCCATTAGTATGATTACACATGTCCCATAAAGGTATTAGAGCCAATGTAACTCTGGAACCATCTTCTGTTGGAATCTGGTTCTGCCGCGTCATAACAGAGGAAACCGCCCATCTACAAAAATTAAAAACATTAGATGGTCAATGTTCAAAACATTAATATATGACTGGCTGTACTCCAACCCAAAGCAATCATTTAGGCTGTGAGTTTCCAAACTTAAGTTTTCTTAAAGATCACACTGACTACAGTAACAGTAGAAGGCAATACCACTTGCAGGAGAACCAGCAGCTCCTAGGTTTCCAAGACACGCACACAGACCAAATCCCAAATCAGGATGGCAATCCCACCCCCTCTTCTACACTCTTTGCAACAGAACCTTTGCACCTTCCATTACCTCAACCAGGACCCACTCCCATGTCACCTTCTCCTTCCCCAAGCCTTCACTTCACTGCACGCACAGCTCTCGCCACACATCCCAAACCCGGGGCCAGCTATTCCTGACTGCTTCCGAGGAGTTCACAAGTACTGCTTGGCAGCAGTAGCTCTCAATCTACATGCAGGCTCTTGTAAGAGCCAGGAGATGTTTTTCCCCTTGCTTCGTAAAAACCTTGTGTACTGCACGAACTGGAAACCAGCGTCATCACCTGACACACACATGATATTTTGGTAAGTGCTGCTTCTTCAATTTGCGAACTTTTGGCTTAAATGAGTATCGCTTCATTTTCTGCTTAACAGAATAAAGAGGAAAAAAAGCCCCAATACCCCAAACAGATATCCAGGTAGAAAGAATGAAGAAAGCATAACATAGTTTAGCACACAAACATCATGCAAAACCCTTCTAACTCAGGTTAAGCACAGGAAATGACAGCTACCTATTCAAACTTAAGAATCTTCAGAAAAGCTTAAACATTTCAGTTTTCTAAAATTCTATTTTCATTTTATTTCAGACAAAAATGAATATTAAATGCCAGAGGGAAAAGAATAATCTTAGTTTCACTGTGTTCTAACCTCAATACATGTATCTGTGTTTTTCTGACGGAAGGAAAAAAAATAAACTCCACCAGAAGGTCAAAATAATTTTAACACCCACTGACTCCACTACTAGCAAGTATTTAATATACAGAATTAGACTTTGAGAAGGTTTTTTTCAGAAGTACTAGAGATTGTTTAGAAAGATACCATCAAATTGAAATCTACTTAATTTCTAAAAAAGCAATTTAAAATTGTGGATAATTCTGATATACAAACACTTTTTGAAACACAATAGCAATATGTTTCTTTTTAATTGTTGTGTTTTATCTGCAAAATTTTAGACCACTTCATGTGTAAGTTGGCGAGTCCCTCTGTGACCCAGTAAGTGAAGGAGGCATGCTTTGGAAATCCCACTTTCGTAGACTTACCCAGAAGTAGAACTAGGCTTAAAAAAAAAAAAATCCCTGCAAGACCTCATGAATGCCTTTTATGCATGCTATTTTAATCACTTAACAGAATTAAAGCTCTTGTTATCTTAATTATTCTTATTTTTATCTTAATTATGTCACCCCCTATAGCACCTCCAAGTGACACTCATGCTTCACGTGTACAGCTTGTGTTATCCATCTCTCCTGTTCAACAGCCACTGTTAATATTAGGTTTTACTAGTATGTGCTGGTAAAGACTTTTATAAAAAAAAAAAAAAAAAAAAATCCCAAAGCCCAAACCTCCTGGTACTTTAACTGAACTATTTTCTTAAGAAACAACGAATTACCTTACTAATCTCAGACTATGTGTGCCAGTTGGCTAAATTAACTGCTCATAATGACTATTCCTTTGTAACAATTAACATCTGCATATTTATTTTACTTTCTTCATTAAGAAAGTGTATTAGTATCAAAACCTACATTTAACATTTCAATAACAATAGGGCTTTCCCACCAATGAAGCATTTCCAGGGTCCCACAGTTCACAATATTAAAAAAAAAAAAAAAAAAAAGAAAAAAGAAAAGAATTAAAAGACAGACCAACCTGTAGTCGTCATAAGTGAAAGAATCCTTTAAGGGCAGTTTGCTGGCATTAGGATGGGTCTGGGAAATGCAAGTTTCAGAAAAAGGTGAAAAGAGAAAGAAGAGAGAAATCAGAAATCAGTCAGCAGAATTTCATTATTTAGCTGCCTAACAGATCCTAACAAGAGCCAAATGAAGCAGGAGGCGTCCAGCCGCGCTACAGAGGGATCATCATGCTATTATGCTCTCATACATCACTGTCAACTTAATTTGTTGTGCCCAGCAGCCGCCATAAATCTGTTTCTTCATATTTCAAGACTGGAACCCACAGACATTGTACAAAAATAAAAAATTTAAGGTGGACTGAGTATGTGAAGGTAAAACAAAACCCAGCCCATGGTGCAGGGTGGGGGAAGAAATTGGACAATGAGCACACATTAGGTTTCACCAACTTCCACATTTTTCCTTTTCTCTGGGGTATCAGTAAAGTATTTTGCAAATGCAAGTAAAAATTATAACTACAAGATTTTCAATTCTTCCTTGATACCTGAAAAGGTTTTATTCAGTACAAGATGTACTACACCTCCAAAACAAAACAGGTCTAAATATTTAAACAGTTTTGGTGACAAACATTGATTAGATAGCACTATATTAAGCCATCTATACATACTCCCATCTAAAAGCGGAGCAATGCCATTCGAGCATGCATACTGTGGTTGCCGTTAACAAGCACAATATTTAGATTTTAAAAAGGCTTTAAGAAGCTGTAATACCTGTTACTTTTCTGATCAATTAACTTAATGAAAGTTTCAAAAAATACAGGTAGCTTTAAGCCCACACTCGCGCGCTTTCTTTAGAACTTTGTCCCAATTTGCAAATGGAAAGCCATAATAGCATGGATTTTAATCTTCAAGTTCAATTAGGTCTCCAAGACGAATTAAAGTAAATGATCAAAAGGTTATTTCAGACGATACAAATGATTTTTTTTTT